CTCCTCCTCCTCCTCCTCCTCCTCCTCCTCCTCCTCCTCCTTTAGGAAAAGCTGATAAACAGGACCCCAAGGATACATACCTTCCTCCAACTTCTGTTAGTAAGCAAATGGTATTAAAAACCACTCTGGTGGTTGGGTGCTCACCTGTGCTAAATTATACTTTATCTTGTCTGACTTTTATGGATCTGTTGTATGGTCCCAAACCATTACGATTATAGTTATAGTTTGGTGTGTTGTGCTTTGTATTTGTTCTTCAACCAACCAACTATGGTTAAGGCAAACCCAGATGCAAGGAGACAGTCACAACATTTTGTCTGGGGAATTCAGGGAGTTGGAAGTTCAAATATCCTAAAGTTGATGAGGTCGAGAAATGCTGGATTATAGAATTGAACACCAAGGAGGTGCCAGTTAGCTCTTTAGACCCCTTGGAAACTTCTTAGCATCTTCTATCTTCACATACACAATTTCAGGACTGCTAAACTAACTCCAAGGAAGGTGATGTAGAATAACCAGGGTGGATATAGCCTTTTTCCCCACCATCCGGTCAAGAGTTGAAGCAGCTTCTTGGATGAGAAGCGAAACGTCTTCAAAGAAAAACCAGAAAGTCCAGTTGCCTGTTGAGGGACAAAAAATCATCCTTGGGATAACCATGACTTGGATGACTTGAGAATCTCCATAGATAGAGTAGCCTAGCTAAATTTTTAAAGCACTTTTTTAACCATGCCCCTATCTCAAGAAGATGCTGAGTTTATTTTACGGTTTTTATGCTGTCTCGATTGCACAGATTTAAATTTGTAAATACAAAATCAATAGTGACATGGTATTATCTGCCGTTAAAGAACGCGAAGCCAATAATCGTGCAGGGTGATTATAGATCCGAGATCCTTAAAAGAAAATTAAGAATAAGAAAGTTGAGGAACAGTAGCATGGCGAAGGAATTATAACTGATCTTTGTTATCTTGAAAACAAAAATTGCGGTCCTTTTTCAAGAACCGCTTGGCGACGTGTGTGGAAAGGGGCTGGTGAAAATGGACAGGCCTGGTGGACTTAAATTTGAAGATGGGTCATTTGAGCTACGTTAGACTTGTATTACAGGAAGTGATGAAACGGGCTTTCCAAGCCTCTGGGAGGCCGAAAAAGGCCTCAAATGGGCTGCAAACCAACTGGAAGGCACGTGCATGTGCAGTGAAGTAAGTTTGCCTGCAGCTCGCATGCCGGCACAAAAGGTTCGTTGTGGCACACGTGCAATAGGTGTGTAGCCACCACAGCCTTAGACATCTCATTGCCTTGAGTGAAAAGCAGCCTTTGAACTGCATCACTTTGAGCTGAAATAGTTTTGGCGGCCCTTATTCAAAACACAAAGGCAAGAGGAGAGGGGCGGATGGGGAAAAAACAGGAGATCAAATCATCAGACGTGACTATAAATGCAAACTTCCATTCTGTTTGACTAGGCTTTTAAGTTTTATTTTATTTTTTAATTGCTACTATTGCAAAGAATCGTACAGGGAGTCCTCAAACATACGAGTCCTTTAGTGACCGTCTGAAGCTACGGCGGCACTTCACACAAGTGTTCTTCACACGATCGTTGTGGCAGCCTCACAAAATTTGGACGCATGGCAACTGACTCACATTTATGACGGTGGCAGTGTCCCCAGGGGGGCAGGGGGGGCCTTCACGTGATCCTCTTTTGTGACCGTCCAGCCAGCCAAGTCCACAGGGAAGCCTGGTTCGCTTTACGATGGTATTTCTAACTTAAGAACTGCAGCGATTCACTTTGCAACGATGGCGAGAAAGGCTGTAGAAAGGGGCCAAAGCTCACTTTACAACTGTCTCACTTAGCAGCAGGAGTTTTTGCGTTCCAAATGTGGTTGCAAGTTGAGGCGGCTTCTGTTTTCATTCTTGTCCTAGCCACCAAATGGTAACGTTTTGGAAAATGTCCCGTTGGGTTCTGAACAGCTGTTTAGGAGAACTTTACTAATATGTTGGTTTTGTCTGTTTTGGTCCCCAGGATACGCCGATGACTCGGACTTTGAATTATCAGATGCACTGGATGACTTTGTCCCGACGAAGAGACGTAAGTATGTGCCTGGTGGATGTTGTGGGCAGAACAGAGCGGATATCGGCTGTGGATTAGGAATCGGAGGGGCTGATGTGACGCTCAGCAGGGAAGAAGGGAGCTTGCTGGTGGAAAGCTGACCGACCCGGGTTTGAAACCCTCATTCTCTTACTAAAAGCCCAACTGTGATGACCTGGGGCGTGGCACAAAAATAACAAAGTCACCAAAGTAGATAAATTCCCTTTAATGCCTCCAAGTTGGCCCCCAATGTCCAGTTATCCTCTGTTGAAGATCAAACTCTTCCCAAAAACATTCTAAGAAATGCATTCCGAACCCAAAGTAAAGATAAATTAGAAATAAGAAAAACCAACGCAAACCAGTAATTAACAAGACAGGCCAGGATGATAAATTGCAGACTTCCGAAAGATAATGAAGCACCCACAGTTGGGAGGATGCCAAAACCCAGATAAGCCTCGACAAAGATAATGCACGCTTTGCTTCCAGAAAGGTGCTGTGTGCAAATGCCCTTCTGATATCCTGTTCTCCCAGCTGCAACTAATGAAAGGGATCAAGGCCCTTTTCTCCCCCGTAAGCCACATTGCTCCCTTCTCCGTTCCTCCCTGCGTGCTCTAGGATGCAGAGGGGGTGGCCCTGGGTCTTCCTTTGAAGGCCCAGCCGGCCTGTGCCCTTCCCCCGTTTCTTCCACAGCCACCGGAGCCCCACTCCCACTCCTGGTCAGCTGCTCAATCTCCCCCTCAGAATCGGACTCCAACAAGGTCATGACACCCACGGATGAAAACTTGAGTTAGAGCTCGGCATGGAAATTCCACGTTCTCCTTCCGCAAGCATCCAAAGTTCAAAACTCGAATGTCAACTTTAATTTAAAGTTTTAACGGCTACAGCTTTTGTTTCCTCAAACTTTTAACTTCAGTTCAAGGTGGCCCTGCTCTTCAGATGTAGTCTCACCGAACTCCAAGGATCTGTATGTCTTACTTGGGAGTAAACCCAGTTAAGAGTACAGGGTCAGCTCAGGCTGGTTTAGCATCGCCGTGGAACAAAAATGCCATTTACTCTGTCTTTTTTTTTTCAATCTCTCCTAGCTACTCACAAGCCGCCCAGGAAGACCTCAGGTGGCACAGGTGAGCTGTTAGCTTTCTTAAGCTTCTACAAATCCCGTCCCCTCTAGCCATTGTGACTCCTGGCTTTATGGTAAGCTAGAGTCATTTTCTGGGCTCCCCCCGACATTTCTTGTCAAACCGCAATCCAGGAAGTTGCAAGTACAAGCTGACCCATTTCATTTGGGGTATCCTCGGTATTTGTCCTTTAACGGGGCGTTGCCTTTTGTAACCCTGACGGTGGCCTACCTGGGGGTGGTGCGGTGGCCTAGAGGTGGAGCTGTCGCCTCACAGTCAGGAGGCTGGGAGTTTGATTCTAGGTAGAGGCAGATATTTCTCTCCCTCTGGGCACTATGAGAATATATCTGCCGAACAAAACCCCGCTCTGGCAACAAAAAGGGCATCCGGCCAGTAAATACTCAGCTCCATTGAGTTGCCCAGACTCCACACCGCAAGGGATTAAGGGGGTCATGAAAAGAAGATGACAGTGGCCTACCTGGGAGGGCTATTGGGAGGATAAAGGGGCACAAACCTGTAGCAGCACACGAGGGCGTTGCGCCTTTTGGGTGTGTGTGTGTGTGTGTGTGAATGATGTCATGATGCACAATGAAATAAAAGACAGGTGGGTGGGTTACGTTGCAGAAAGAAAAGTCGGGGAGGGTGTCCAGTGTTTCCCGCAGTAAGTAGCTCTTCTGTCCGTCTCCTTGATTTCTCGAGCAGGCGAACTCGATCTGTTGGATTACTTTGATTCCCCGCCGGAGAGAACCACCAGGCCCGCAAAGGCCACCACTGGCCCTTATCCAAGGAAACCAGGTAAGGACATCCTGGCTCCTGGTTTTGGCAGGGCTGGACCCTGGGCTGCCTTCTCCTGAGGCCCTGGGAGGAGTGGGACCCAAAGCCTCCTGAATGGGGTGGAAATATGACTTTGGGGGGCACAGAATTCCTTCCTTCCTTCCTCTCCCTTTTCTTTCCTTCTTCCTCCCTCTCTCCCTCTCTTGCCCTTTCCTTCCTTCCTTTTTTCCCCTCCTTCCTTTGCCCTTTTCTTCCTCCCTCCCTTCTTCTTTTCCTTCCTTCCTCCCCTCATTTCTTCCTTGCTCTTTTCCTTCCTTCCTTCCTTTCCTCCTCCTTTCCTTCCCTCCTTTGCCCTTTTTTCTTCCTTCCTTCCTTCCTTCCTTCCTTCCTTCCTTCCTTCCTTCCTTCCTTCCTTCCTTCCTTCCTTCCTTCCTCTTTTCTTTCCTTCCTTCCTCTTTTCCTTCCTTCCTTCCTTCCTTCCTTCCTTCCTTCCTTCCTTCCTTCCTTCCTTCCTTCCTTCTCCCTCCCTCCCTCCCTCCCTCCCTCCCTCCCTTCTGTCTGAATACAACTAGGCTATTTCTCGGAGGATACAGCTACTCATTGCAACACAACAAGGGAGACCACAGCCCACAAACCAGCTTCCAATCAAGCTCAATAAGCCAGAATCCCTAACACCCAAGGAGGATTGGATCTGGTTTGAATGTGGTTGGGATAACACCAGGTGATAGGCAGGAAGTTAGGAAGGGAAATTAAACAATATCCTGGGGGAAAGAGCCTGTTGTTTTCCCTCACACGAGCCCCAGAGGTTGAGAAGGTTGAACCACACAGCTTATCCAGCATGTATTTGGTCCCGATTTTCCAAAACTGCAGCTAGATATATTTGGAAAGGCAACTGACTGGGGAGGGCTTGTTGTTGTGGGTTGCGAAGTCATGTCCCACCCATTGCAACCCCATGGACAACGTTCCTCCAGGCCTTCCTGTCCTCTGCCATCTTCTGGAGTCCATTTAAGCTCATGGTGACCTCTTCAGTGACTCCATCCAGCCACCTCCTTCTCTGCTGTCCCCTTCTTCTTCTATTGCCCTCCATCGTTCCCAGCATTTGGCTCTTCCTCTCCAGGGAGTCCTTCCTTCCTTCTCATGAGGTGGCCAAAGTCTTTGAGTTCCATCTTCAGGATCTGGCCTTCTGAAGAGCAGTCAAGGTGGATCTCCTCTAGGACTGACTGGTTGAATGGCCTTGCAGTCCAAGGGACTCGCAGGAGTCTCCTCCAGCCCCAGAGTTCAAAGGCCTCCATTCTTTGGTGCTCAGCCTTCCTTGTGGTCCAACTTTCACAGCCGTCCATTGCAACTGGGAAAACTACAGCCATGACTCTACGCACTTTGGTTGGCAGGGGGGTGTCTCTGCTTTTTAGGGGAGGGTTGGGCTAAGTTAATTGCTGGGCATCCTGGGCTGAAGGGTCTGTGTTCTCCAATCTGCAGATGATGGCCGCTGGAACATCCCTCACACCACCACCACCAAGCAGCCTAAAACTACCAAGCCGCCCCCCAAAAAGGCTCCAGGTAATTTTTAACCACTATGAAACCTCAAAGGCACCATTAGAAATCAGGAAAACAATGCCTGCTGCCTTGGAAATCCAGAGAATGGATGGTGGAGATGAAGAAATGCAGCTTGGCCTGGTATTGAAAGAGAACAGAACAGGGCCTGGGTGGGTTTTTTCAGAAGAGTCCTCACTTAAAAAGGTTTTCTCCTTTACTAGAGCTATTGTCTCTGCTTTCTCCCATTTGGCAGGACAATGTAGAAGATCTCTGAAGATAATCCTGGGGTCTGTGGGAGGGAGGGATATAGATGGATGGATGAAGGATGGATGGATTGGTTGATGGTTGGTTGGTTGGATGGATGGATGGTTGGATGGATGGATGGACGGATGGGTAGATGGATGATTGATGGTTGGTTAGATGAATGGTTGGATAGATGATTGGATGGATGAAGGATGGATTCATGGTTGGATAGATGGTTGAATGGATGGATGGATGGATGGATGAAGGATGAATGGATGGATGGATTGATGGTTAGTTGGTTGGATAGATGGTTGGATAGATGATTAGATGGATGGATGATGGTTAGATGGATGAATGGATAATAGTTGGATGGCTGGAGGATGGCTTGTTGGATGTTGGATGGGTGGATGGATAGATTGGTAGATCAATAAATAGGTAGATAGAAGAAGACAATCTATTAGATAGCTATCCTTAGAGGATTTGGGGTTCCCAGGCTGAATTTGAGGATTGAAACTTCTTTCTTTGATTATGTGTTTTCCTGACATTCAATCTGGTTTCTATAAAAGCCTTCACCAGCTCTGACCCTCAACATGTAGAGGTGTTGGCTGCAAGCCGTGGTGTTCTCCAATGGGTGAGATCTTGGGGGTGGCTTGGAATTCAAGACATCTGGAGACTAGCAGGTTGGGAATGGCTGGTCTGGCGTCGAGGTGGTGACTGTTACATGCATCACATCGAACTCGAGATGAACGAAGGGGCAAAACTAAGCCTGGGAAATATTGTAGGAATTATGGGGAGCCTAGGTAGACTTCTTCAAGACATTTCTAACTTCTCCTAAGACAGAGGCCTGCAACCTTAAAACACTAAAGCGAGCCATTTGGACTCGTTTCCCACAGAAAAGAAAACACTGGGAGCCTCAAAATGTGGGTGGGCGTGGCCAACTCAATGGCACTCCCAACCAGTCACATGACTCACCCGTCCACCCCGCCAAGCCCACCCAAGTTTTGTGGCTCCTGGTGTTTTCTGTGGGAAATGGGTCTCCCTCCCTCTCCTCTCTGTTTTTTGTGTTTTACCTTCTCAAGCCAGGCGAGGAGTGATTGCGAGGGGAGGGCGAGGGGCGGGGCCAGCCAGTGGTGGGATCCCCCAACAGGGAGCCATAGCAGAGGGCCCAAAGAACCGCATACGGCTCCAGAGCCATGGGTTGCTGACACCCGTCCTAAGAGGTTCAGTCTGTCTCAGTGGGAAAGAGTGGTGATGCTAGAAACTACAACGCGCTCAGTAGCTGATGTGCTACTTTTATAGGGAAAGACCCCATGGATCTCGACTTAAGTGATGCTTTGGATGACCAAAATGACAGACACCCTGGGGGAGGACCACCTAAAGGAAATCCTGGTGGAGGTACGTTGATGATTCTTCTTTTGGTTGGCCGAGATAGATTTCTGCACACCCTCCCTTCTTTCTCTCCCTACTCTGCTGCAGATGCGGGAGAACAATAACCTTGAAGATTTGCTCACCTGCTAGGTGTCAACTCATAAAATATTTCTATGGTCTTTTTAGAGTTGCCAACAGAAAAGGAGAGGGGGGGGAAGAGCAGTGCAGCAGCTTGCAAACCGAAAGCGCATTCCATAAATGTTTTCAAAGATAGTAATGAGGTGACCGAAGTTTCTGCCATGCAAATATCTAACTAGAGAACATGATTGATGACTCTTGGCTGTGGATAAACATGAATTATGATACACCCAGATAGACGGATGGATGGATGTTGTTTTATTGCTCCAGGTTGAATTCTCATTTTCCTTTGTCGTATGCTAAACCAACCCCTGCTATTTTCCATGATCAGTTAATGAATAAAGAATCCTGTTCCAGGCTCAAAAGGTGGAGATGGAAGAGGTGGAAAGAGGAGGATAGAAGAGGGGTCCCTCCTTGGCTCCCCAGCTGCTCTCTCTCCTCCGTCCCACCTGAGTGCCTTTGCTTGCCCTTCTCTCCTAAGTCCAGTGGTTTGTCTAACCAACTCCCTGGGAATGAGAAGGAAGAGGAAGACACCTGTGCTAATTTGGCCTCACAAATCAACCGTCCTCCTCATTGCCTTCCTTTGATTTTGTTTCCCCATTTCTGCGACCCTGCTTCCAGAAAACTGAGAGTTGCAGATTACAGATACAGATGAACAGAGTTGGAAGGGACCTTGTAGGTCATCTAGTCCAACGCCCCCCTGCCCAAGGAGACTCTAGAACAAGGCTCTTCAACCTTGGCCAGGTTAAGAAGGTTGGACAACCATATGTCTGAAATGGTGTAGGGTATCCTGCCTAAGCAGGAGGTTGGACTAGAAGACCTCAAAGGTCCCTTCCAACTCTTCTCTTCTCTTCTCTTCTCTTCTCTTCTCTTCTCTTCTCTTCTCTTCTCTTCTCTTCTAGTCTAGTCTAGTCTAGTCTAGTCTAGTCTAGTCTATTCTCCATTCCATTCTATTCCATATTCTATTCTACGCTGTATTCTTATTCTTTCCCTGTTTTATTCTATTCTATTCTATTCTATTCTATTCTATTCTATTCTATTCTATTCTGTTCTGTTCTGTTCTGTTCTGTTCTGTTCTGTTCTGTTCTTTTCTGTTCTGTTCTGTTCTATTCTATTTTTTCCTCTCTTCGGTCTGCTAGCAGGAGTTTCGGGTTTTGAATTCATCTTAATATGAAAGGAAAAAAAATCCCTTTGCAGATAGAAAAGTAATACAGCAGGAAATAAATTGACCCGGAAACCATCTGTCTGCCCTGATAGCTTTTCTTACTTGTCAGGCCATGAGTTTATATGTAAGCAGGCTATGAATTGGTGTCCCTTCTTATGATCCGAAGGGATAAATCACCTGTGTGCCCAAGCAAATCAAACACCCCTGAATGTGGACCTTAAGGTAACCCTTGTTGACACCTAATTTAATGGAAGCGTTTTGCAGGCATTCATTAAAAAAAAAACAATCCATAAACAATATACCACCCTATTTTCCCAAAAATACAACCTACCCCATAAGTAAGTCCTAGCTTGATTTTTACATGTGCACCCAATATAAGGAATTTAAGAGTTGACAGCAAGGCAAAACTCACACAGTTGGGAAGACGCCGGGAACACAGATAAGCCACAACGATACAAGATAAATTCATGTTTGCTTCCACAACTTGCTGTGTTCAGCTTCCTCTTTTATACACTGGGTTCAGGGCCCTTTCCTCCCCCATAAGCCACGCAACCCATGTTGCTCCTTTCTCCGTTCCTCCCTGTGTGCCATAGGATGAAGAGGGGGTGGGCCTGGGTCTTCCTCTGAACTCCCTCTGCCTTGTTCTCCCTCTCCCCTGCTCTGCCTAGCTGGACTTTGCCCTTCCCCAGTTTCCTCCATAGCCAATGGAGCCACACTCCCACTCCCTGTCAGCTGTTCGTCTTCCCCCTCCGGATCAGATTCCAACAGGGGCATGACAGAGGGAAACATCTTCAATTATATGAGATGCATTGTGCCCGATCCTTAAGAGTGAAAATAGAAGAGGAAACATTCTGGGGTTAAAACATTTCATTTTTGAAACAAATCTATTCTTTTGCACTTCTGGATTGAGAGTAGATAACAACTAACGTCACATCCATCACTTTCCTAACTTTACTTCCAGCCAATAACTCCTCTACTAACTCCCCACGCATCAATATCTTAAGAGTCATTTTTCTTTTCTTCTTGAATGCAGTCCTTCTACTCACGGTAAATTTGGTGAAAGAGTGGTTAAAAAAAGAAAAATGACCAATGTGGGATTTTAAATAAAGTGGATTTTACTTGGACTCCTCAGGGATTTCAGACGATGACCTGATTGGAATCGTGGACGAAGGAGGGTATCAACCTGATAAGAAAAAAGGTGAGTTTGAAACCTCGGGACTGTTGTGGAGTTGCTGTTGGCAATATCTTGGAAGCTGTAAGTTTAGATATAGAAGTAGTCCTCCGATTGGAACAAGAATTGGGGCCAGAATTTCTGGTTGCCAAGCCTCTAAATTTTCGATCAGAATAACAGAGTCGGAAGGGACCTTGGGAAAACACCTAGCCCACCTCTGCCTAGGTGGATGCTGCAAAACCTTCTTTAAAAGATTTCCAGACCCAGAAGATCCAGGGCTGTCCTGCTTTGGGGATGTAGCTTGGATTCTGTGCTGGGAAGAATGCAGAGAACAGCAACCAATTTCATTATATGCATGTTGGGCATTGACAATAAACGCTTGATTGATTGATTGATTGATTAAAAAAACCAGGATGATTTGGGGACTTGGAGGCTTAAACATACGATAAACGGTTGCAAGAACTGGGCCTAGCTAGTCTGAGTGAAGAGAAGGGCCAGGGGAGACAGGATAGCAGCCTTCCAATATTTGAGGGGCTGCCACAGAGAGGAGGAAGCGGGGGTCAAGCTATTTTCCAAAGCATCTTAAGACAGGACAAGGGATAATGGATGGAAACTGAACTAGGAGAGATTCAACCTGGAAATAAGGAGAAACTTTCTGACAGTGAGAACAATCAACCCATGGAACAGAAGTTGCCTTCGGAAGTTGTGGGAGCTTCATCCCTGGAGGTTTTCAAGAAGAGACTGGACTGCCATCGGTCAGAAATGGTGTAGGGTTTCCTGCTTGGGCAGGGGGTTGGACTAGATGGCCTACAAGGTCCCTTCCGACTCAGTTCCTTTGCCACTGAACGGGAAAGGAGCAAAACGTAAGGCACACAGGTGTAAACAAGGCACCAGCGTTTCTCTTTAGATGCACCAGACCGTTGGCATTCCTTCACTGGCGCTGAGCACACCACAAAGGGATCATTCTTCCGAGCCGCGCTTGAGTGTTTTCCTTCTCCAATTAGAGAATGGAGCGTGTGTGTCTGTGTGTGTGTGTGTGTGTGTGTAGGGGGGGGAGGGAAATTACTGCTTATGCTGCAGCGGGCAGAAAATGTGCAGACAAAGACGTTCGTTTCGCTGCAGACCGCACCCACTTTCTCCAATGCGCACGAGGCTAAATTTATAATCAATCTCATTTATTGCTCCTGACGCAGCAGCGGCTTAATTAATACGAGGGCCAGCGATTTGCAGCGGCAGTTCAGGTTGGGCACTCCCAACTTCCTTGGTCGACATATTAGGAGATAATTAAAATGGCCCCGGGATTGATTAATTGATTATCTATTTGTTTAGCGCAGCACCCCCTGGGCGGCTTAAAATTGGCTTTGGAGAGAACCCAGGAAGGGGAGGGGAGAAAAAGCAGTTGGGGAGGAGCAGCTTCTCTCTTCCCAAACCGTCCTCTTGCTTTTAACTCCCAAGGTGTAAATCAGTTATACGTCGGGGGTGTGTGTGGTTTGGACGGAGGGGGAATGTAGGGCAGGCGTGGTCGTCGCGGCTACAAATCCGCAGGGTTTTGTTAACCAAGATCTCTCCGTTCTCCTCTTCCCTTAAAAATCTGCCCCCTGCCCCCCCAAAAACCCAAGATTGTAACCATCATGCTTGACTCATTGAACGACCGTCCTGCTTAGCGATGTGATTTCTGGTCCTGATTGCAAGTCAAGGGACTTACCCATACCTCTGCTATAAACTTGGAGACGATCTGTAACTTGTTTCAGACTTCATAAATGTTGCACGTTCTTCTTTAGTTATGGTTGACTGATTGCCTCGTCGTTTATTCTTCTGTCGTTTATTCTTCCGTCTAGGAGACAGTGACAATGATTACAATAATGGTAAGTGTGCGCGCTCGGGACATCTCAGCTTCTTTTCAAAACCATGGATTTCCCTTGAGACCCCGGCCTTTTCAGATGCCCCTTTAAAACTCCTTTCTCAGTCTTTCCTGGGCACCAAGCTGTGGAGAAGGGCGAGGTGGCTTTTAGCAGAATCTGACCTGACCTGTTATGAGAATGTGGGGATTCACCTTTGAAGCTCAGGAACCATCGTTTTTACACCCTTGTTTTTTAAATCTCTATATAGAAAAGCGAAATGCCACTCATGCATCATCACAAAATCTCCAGAACTGTAAAACTTACGAACTTGAAATTTGGCACGTAGGTTCCTCTTGGCTTCTAGATGCTCACCAAGAAAGGATTTTTCAAAATGACCACCAGAACGTTTAGAGTATTTCCTAGAGTATTTAGAGTATTATTAACACGCTCTGATGCTAAGGAGTTCTACCCAAGTGCCTTTCGAAGATGTTTTGCTTATCATCCGATCAGTTTCTTCAGCTCTTGACTAGAGAGTAGGGAATGGAAAAGATTCCATTATTTACTACCCCACTATCCTGCCAGAGTTGAAGAAGCTCCTTGGATGAGAAGCAAAACCTCTTCAAAAAACAAAACAAAACAAGGAAGTTCTGGAAAAAAAAGCACCTTTGGGACTACCTGGATGACGGAGAATCTCTATAGACTTTTAGCTCTGCAATTTGGGATGGACACCCTGGGAATGGGAGTAGGAATTACAGGAACCGTTAGCACCACTCCGGTTACTATAAGGACGCAGATAAGACCTGGTTCAGCCGTTTTTGTTCTGTAGCCCAGTCTACACCCGGTGTAGACTGAGTTATAGGGTTCCATCAAGGGTAACCCCAAAGGTGCTTTTCCGAGAGGCAACTGGACTTTCTGGTTTTTCTTTGAAGACGTTTCCCTTCTCATCCAAGAAGCTTCTTCAGCTCTGACTGGATGGCGGGGAATGGAAGGACTGATGCTCCTTGCGGATAGCTGGTCATTTGCGTTCTTTTAGAGAATCGTTGTGGCCACTTGGAGGTTTATTTGTGTCCTCAGAATCACCTGAGTTGTGCAAATGGTTGTAGAGCCTTCTTGGAACTGCTGAAAAGATTGTATTGTAAACTGGAGGTAGATGATGTTATATTCCTCCCCCTCAGCCTTTGAGAAAAGGCTGTTCGATTTGGACCTCGATGGCCTATTTGACAGATAAACCTCCAAGTGGCCTCAACGACCCTCTAAAAGGATGCAAATGACCAGCTGTCCGCAAGGAAGATCAATCCTCCCATCCAGTCAGAGCTGAAGAAGCTTCGTGGATGAGAAGCGAAACGTCTTCGAAAGAAACAAACGAGAAAGTCCATTCGCCTCCTGAAAAAAGCAGCACCTCGGGAACAACCCTGACCTGGAGGATGGAGATTCTCTGCAGATGTTCAGGCTGGGGAAGGTGGCAGAAGTCAGTCAATTCACCTAAGTCAGGGTAGAATCCACAGCCATGGCCCGGTGGAACAAAGGTGTGGGCAGGAACGGAGAAAAGAAAATGAGCGGGGACTTTTTATAAACATCTAGGATGTAGGTCGCCATCCGTAAATGGTCTTTGCTCTTCCACTTCTACAGGTGCCCTGGTGGAAACCGGGACAATTGCTGGCATTGTCAGTGGCCTCGCCATGGCCTTGATCGGGGCTGTCAGCAGCTACATTTCCTACCAGCAAAAGAAATTCTGCTTTAGCATACAACGTAAGTGTCTCCGTTGAGACAAGTAAATCAGTCAGTTTTTCAATCCAGGGATAAGTATCAAAGTCCAGTGTCAAAAACAGTTCAGTATCAGACTTACATTAAATCCAGGAATATCAGTCAATTAGGAAAAATGGGGTAATGGCAATACTTTCCAACAGAAGGAAACAGAGATACACTCACGCTCTCTTCTGAGACTCAGACTAAAACAATCCAGGTTTCTGGCTCCATCTTATGGCTGTTTGAACAACCACACCCAATTGCAGTTTTTGCAATCTCTTAAAGACATAGTACTAAAATGTTTATCCTGGCTTATATATTTCAAACGCAAATACCTGTTAGGTGACTTATATTCCTGACAGTCTCCAACTCCCACCTCACCCCCTTGCAGGAGATCTGAGCCCACCAGGACCCTCCAGGAAAGCAGACCCAAGATAGGGCTTCAGTGAAGGAGACTATTTCGTAGCTCAGGGTCGAAATGATGGGTCCTTGGAGCTGGGTGGTTTTCTTGCAGACGTTTCATTACCAAACTAGGTAATATCATTAGTGATGGAAGGGAGTGAGGTTGGAGGAGGAAAAGGAGGAGAATTATAGGGTCCTTGGTATTCTCTGAGCTTAGCTGTTTTCTTTCAGACGTTTCATTACCAAACTAGGTAACCTCATCAGTTCTGGATAGGCTTCCCAACCTATTTTCAGTTGGTTATGGAATTCCTGAAGGGCCCACAGTAGGTCCTCCTTCGGTTGCCTTTCCGGTTGACAAAGCTAGAAAAGGGCCTGATGAGGACCAGGACTGGGATAAGACTTGTTTGGCCTGGTTCATTCCATCCCTCCATTAGTCCAGTCAAAGCTGGAAAAGATTCGTTCTTCAGAATTGGTTCTTTCACCCTTGCTGAAATTTACCCGGGTGTGAAAGGGAGAGAAGGGACGTGGTGGCTCAGCGGCTAAGACGCTGAGCTTGTCGATCAGAAAAGTCGGCAATTCAGCGGTTCGAATCCCTAGCGCCGCGTCACGGAGTGAGTTCCTGTTCCTTGTCCCAGCTTCTGCCAACCTAGCAGTTCGAAAGCTTGTAAAAAATGCAAGTAGAAAAATAGGTACCACTTTGGTGAGAAGGGAACAGCATTCCATATGCCTTTGAAGGCCTTTAGTCATGCCGGCCATATGACCACGGAGATGTCTTCGGACAGCACTGGCTCTTCAGCTTTGTAACAGAGATGAGCACCGTTCCCTAGAGCCGGAAACGACTAGCATGTATGTGCGAGGGAAACCTTTACCTTTAAAAGTGAGAAAAGCACTATTTCGTGGAGGAGCCAACCTTCGGATGGTTGCAGGAAGAGAAATGATTCCCATTTCCTGCCCCTTTCCTTCTTCTTCTTTCTTTTTAGCAAAGTAACACAAAGAGGAGTGAACTGGAGTTGGTTGAACAAGCAGAATAAGTCAAGAGAAATGTGATGGATTTATTTATCCATTCATTTATCTAACCCCTGCGGTGTTTTTTTGGTGCTCTGTTGGTTATCAGCTGCCGTGTTGCGGGGAGAAAACGAGTGTTATTGCTTGCAAAACAGAAAGATTTGTTTTCTTTTTTTAATGGACCCAAAGTCACAGAATAGATAGATAGATAGATAGATAGATAGATAGATAGATAGATAGATAGATAGATA